AAAATACACAAAAAACAAATTAGTAGATATGACAAAATCCTTGCAATTCATTCATCACTATGGTAGATCCTGTAGAGAATATATTTAAGCCTTTACAAGTATGGACCCGGAAAAGCACACTAAATTGGCAATTTAGAATCATAGAGCTGCTATTAGGAATATAAGAAATAGAAATGTTGAGGCATAAGAGAACTGTATCTTCAAGTCCCCACAAACCAAACATACACCAGCTGAATCCTGGAATCTGGATATATATATATGTATATATATTTCTTAATAAAACTATCCACAGAGCACAGACAACCAAACCCAGTTCTTCCTTCCCCCTCCCAGGAGATACCTCACTACATCCAACCTACTGCTTTTCAGTAAGTTATGCAGAATTTAATTCAAGCTGCCTGCACTGGCTAGTTTCCCTGCAGTCAATTCACTTCTTTTGGGCTAGAAGGACATCAGAGCTAGAGAACCATTACGTCAGTTTAAGTGATTGTGGATCTGCTTCTGCTGTTTGTTGAGCTTCTCTGATGGAGGATTAGATTTGTTTTGATACTGCATCTCAGAAGACTCTAAAGGGCATACAATAATCTAAACTACAGACTGTCAAGAACTTGTTAGGCTGAGTTTCTCACCAGTCATGGAACAAGCATGACTCACCAGCAAACAACACAAAGACTTAAATGAATCTTCAGGACAGTACTGGGAACACATGCAGGCTGCACAGCTCTTTTTAAGGGTTTTGAGTTTTAATCTTGCTATGTCTATGCAGATGAACTGGTGTTCTTATTTGAAAAATACATGTAGAAGTATATCACAAGCCTAGATTTTCCAAAAGGTCAGCAATTACAGAACATAATAGAATAGAAATGGCTACTATACAAAAGTAAGAAGGTATTCTACTAAATATTATTGTTTGTATCAAACTGTTCATGTCTGGAATCAGTCTGTTCAACTGAGCCACTGATGTTGGGGAGAGAAACACATTGTGAGACAGAACATTTTCTTTCATGCTGGTGGCATGCAGTTCTGCTTTTAAGTAATGAATTGGCTGAAACTTGCCTTACACCAAAAGGAAAGAAGAAATTTGGCATCAGGAAACAATCACTACATGTGGAAAATTCACTTAGACTAATTATTCATGCTGTGCAATTATCACCATGGTCAGAGGTGTAAAAGAAAAACCTGAAAATTTGCAGTGAAAAAAATCAAAACTAGAAAAACATTGAAATCTACTGCTCCGTTTTACATATTGCAAAATACAAACTTGGTTAAAGCTTGGGAGCAATAAAAACTCCTCAAACCTTAAATATTTTATTTGCTTTTAACTTCCTGAATACAACTAAGAGTACATAAAAATGATACTAGCATCTACTTAATTCTAATTGAAAATGTAATTCTTGGTCTCCTACTGACTCAAGACAGTAGTGCCCCCAAGTGACATTTCATTATAGAATATAGTCTTGTAGCTTTGTAAAAAAACAAACAAAAAAAAACCAAAAAAGAAAACAAGCCACCAAACCAGCCCAACAGACCATTTTAACTGCTTCATGCAGTACTAAGAGAGAACAGACGCTTGTAAACACCAGTCAGACTTAAATGACACTGATATTTCTTTGAGAGGGCTTGGGAGGGAAGGAGGAGTAATTCACATTTTCATTTTGTAACCATTCTAAAGTTGCTAATTGTTGGAAATTGTAACATCAACATAAAGCTGAATTTGCATCTTCTGCCAGCTATTCACCAGGCTTTTCTGCACAAACCACTACAATATCCTAACAGACATTTTCTTAATTTGATCAGGATTTCCCAGGATTTGCTTGCCCCCTTCCCTCACAACCACATTTGCTGATATTACAATTAAAAAAAAAAAAAAAAAAAAGACCGAAACCAAACTTTTTCACTAATCCTGCAAAACACTCTCCTGGAAATGCGAGCTCTCTTGCTTCCCAGAGGTATATCATGCATTGTAGGTTACCAGTGAGTGAAGAAACTTAAAAGCACAATTTTGGAAATAATAGGACATGATATACCAAGCCTCATTAAAGCTAAAATCTATTACAGGTCATGATAATGGTTATGTTCTCATTAATTTTTCCATAAAGGCTACATGTCGGAACCCATTTAATATATTATTGAAGAGTCCTAACATACAGGCTTGTACCTATAACAATAATGTAATGACTAGTAAAAATAATATAAAGCCAGCAATTACAGTACAAGCAACTTAGTGATTTGAGATAATATTTACCAGCCACCGAACGAAAGCAAATGGACATAGCCTCAGCACTGACAAATATTTACATTAATATAATTACATTAATAATATCAAGTACTTACATTATGTTTACTCTACATGTACATGTAATACACACATGTATAGAGTCATTTTGCTAGTCGATAATCAAATGTATCTGTCATAAAGGCTCCATTTTAAATAAAGTCCCCTTTACACAGACACAGAGAGTACTAGTAAAAAGTGCAGAAAAAAGCCTGTGCAGAGAAGGTCTAATTTTGTTTGGTTTGAATTCCAATACCCACTGAAGCATTCACTGACAGTTTTGTATAGTATGCTAGTAAATCAATATTCAGCATCCAAGATTTTCAGGAATCAGACTTCATTCAGAAGCAAACCAATAGTTTCAGAAGTTTAGATAACTTATACAGAAACAACGTAAGAATTACTGGGTCACTTCAGATGTCTGAAAAAGTAGCATCTGAAAATTAAGGGTTATTTTAAAAGTTATTTAAACTAGATCACTCTGCAGAATGAGCTACACAGGCCTCTTACAGAAATAGAAATCAAAAGCTAATTATTTTTGTGAAAAAAAAAATAAGCTTTTCACAGAAAAGTTGTCTAATGCGGTGCTAGAATAAGTAATCCTGCCAGATATGGGACTTCCTCCCTTGTTACTCAACACATTTAAAAGAAAAACATCTAATCAAAAGATGACACCAAATATACATACACACAGCAATGAGTATTGTTCTTGCAATTAATTTTTCAGTTTTATAAAATTAATAATATTGGTCTGAAGAGTAACCAGTTAGGTGGCATTTATAAAATTTTTTAAAAGTTGACTCTACAGTATTATGTATCACTGGGGAGCTGAGTCATCTGCATTTTTAGTCTGTTAAACTATAAGCCTGCTTTACCCTCCAATTTTTATATTTGTTGAATGAATTTTAAAATATATTACAATCTAAACATGCCTATTCTTTTCACCTGCATCCAAAATGGCTAGGTCTTAATGAGAAACTGAAGTTTGAAACTGAGCAGGAGGTTAACACCAGATCAGAGTATAATATAGGAAAAACACCAATGTCAGAGAGTGACATGAATCAAGCAAGGTGTCTCTTCATGTGTAAGTAGGTGTTGCTAAGAATAACTGCTGCAAGAGCTCCACTTGATAGGAAAGTTATGATATGCTAAAATATCTAATAAAAATGTAAAGAAATATTTGTTCATAACTGTTTCTATTGGAAGACATCTGATAATTAATAGAAGGTATAAAAATAATTGGTATTTTTTTTACTGTCAACTTCTATGCAGCCACTTGTTAACACAGTTCACTTGTCAAAGATGTTCCTACCTGGACTGCAGAAGGTTCCTTTACATACTGAAATTTAAAAAACACAATCAATTTTGAATCACTCCCACTGCACAGCAAACCAGGGTATAATTCGATTACCAGACATTACTCATATAAAAGCTCATATACTTATTTTCACCAGGTTTTTTTCAAACTATGAAGTAGTTATATACAATGCTCTAAATGTATTGCTGTAAGTATATAACATAAAAAAAATAATGTAATAGCAACTTCAAGAGGTACTCAAAAATACAATTACTATGGTTTCTATGGAAGAGGAATCTGATTTATGCAATATTTCATACCATTTATAAACCACTGGTAGTTTAGCTTTATAACACATTTTGTTCAAGTCAAGCTATCTTTCTAAAAATTATCTGCATCTATTTAGATGAACCAATGTGACAAGATTTCCACCTTCCAGCAAGTATTACTTAATTTCTGGTTTTGTTATAGCACAGAAATGTCAACACACATGTAATACATCACCAGTGGCTCTGCACCAAATATTCACTGCCTCCAAATCAACACAAAGAGGTTTTGGGGACTTTAACTACACTTCCACAAGAAAAAAAAAAAAGAAAGAAAAAAAAAGAAAAATGAGATTCAGTAATATTTTAATACACAGAAGTGCATTTCCCTATTACATGCTTGAAGGAGACTCCCTTTCTCTCTACTGTGCAGAGTGCACTGCTCTTCAGTTCCTCCCCAGCTTACTGTCCTCTGTCATTCCCTTCCCCAGTCACCTTTTGGCTTTGTGCACATTTCCCCTCCACATTCAGGTGAATATATTTGCCTTCAATATATTTCCTGTCTTCCCATTTCCATTTAATTCAAGTTCCTTCCTTCTCGCACCCTCTATTCTCCTGCTTCTTGAGCTCACTTTACTCTCCAAATTCCACTTCATATACACATCTAGTGCTCCCTTCCTTCCTTCTTTGTCCTTTGATGGGCATTTGCAAGTCTGCTATGTATTAGAATATCATGAAGCTGCATATGGATCATTTCCTCTAAAATAAAATTTATTTTGTATATACTGTAGGCATTTTTCCTGATGGAGAGGACTAAAAGAATATGGTGATTTTTAAACTCAGCAAGCTTAGGAGTGTCTCTGTGACAGTTTTCTGCCATAAAATTATTTTTACAGGTAAGTTTGCAAAAAATTAAAAGTCTTCCTATTAAGATCTACTGCATGAAAAAAAAAAAAAGCTACAAAAGATTTGGAGATCATTAAGTTGAAGTATAAGCCACAAGATCAACAACAGTAATGTACATTTTATGTTAAGGGCTTCTAAAAAAGCCATCATTCACATAGATGCTGTACCATTTACTTATTTGGTTTAAGTATCTTTAGAAGAGTCTACTGAGTTACAAAAGAAACTTAAAAAAATACAAAAGTAAAGGTAATCTTACTTTTTCATCATCATCAGAAAAGGGGGCACCTCCAGGAGTCTTATTAATTGCTTGGGCAACACCAATAATCTCTCCATCACTGTTTCTTATGGGCATGCACAGAAGTGACTTTGTCTTGTATCCAGTCAGTTTGTCAATCTCATCATTAAAGCGTCGATCCTTCAAGAGAAAATAAGGAAGCGTTAACATGCATGTTGTACATCTACATTTTCTTCAGGCAGCAAAGTATTTTATTTTTTCAACATTTTATACAGTATTTTCAGTAGCGTTATGTGGTTGCTTTGCTGTTATCCCATTCTTCTTTAGCTGTTTTTCATCAGTTAGGATACTAAGAAAAATAGTTTTCTCAAAGGATCAGTACAAGATTTACCATTACACAATTGCATTCACTAAAGTGCCACATTTATATTCTCAATTAGAAGAACGACCTGCCTAAAGCATCACTACCAAAGCAGCTACCAGGAGAACATGTTAAAAATTAAGACTAATTAAACATATGAGGAAAATAAATACAAAAAGATAAAAAAATGTGATAAAAACTGCACAACACACTTTGGGCCCTGACAAACTGCAAGCTCCTTACACCCATGGCTCAACGCAACAACTGTGCTGCACAACCTCCTTGTCTCCAAATTGGAGGCATAGATTTGACAGAGGGACCATGCTGTGGATAAGGAACTGGCTGGATGGTCACACTCAAATAGTTGCGGTCAACAGCTCAATGTCCAAGTGGAGATCAGTGACGAGTGGTACTCCTCCGGGTGGGCACTGAGACTGGCACTGCTTAACATCCTTGTCAGCAACATGGGCAATGGGACTGAGAGTACCCTCAGCAGGTTTGCTGATAACACCAAGCTGTATGGTGCAGTTGAGATGCTGGATGGAAGGGATGCCATCCAGAGGGACCTTGACACACTCGTGAGATGGGCCAATGCCAACCTCATGAAGTTTAACAAGGCCAAGTGCAAGGTCCTACGCCTGGGTCAAGGCAAACCGAAGCACAGATAAAGTCTGGGAAAAGAATGGATTGAGAGCAACCCAAGAAGACTTTCTTAGGGGTGTAGTGTATGTTGATGAGAAGCAAAACATGACCCGGCACTGTGTGCTCACAGCCCAGAAAGCCAACTGTATCCTGGGCTGCCTCAAAAGAAGTGTGACCAGCAGGTCAAGGGAGAGGATTCTCCCCCTCTACTCCATTCTTGTGAGACCTCACCTGGAGTACTAGCATCCAGCTCTGGGGTCCCCCAATATAAGAAAGACATGGGCTTATTGGAGCAAGTCTTATAGGAAGATCAGAGGGATGACCAAAGAGCTGGAAGAACTCTTCCATGAAGACAGCCTGAGAGAACTGGTGTTTTTCAGCCTGGAGAAGAGAAGGCTTCAGAAGACCTTCTAACAGCCTTCTAGTACCTAAAGGGGGCCTACAATAAATCTGGAGAGGGACTTTACAAAGGTATGTGGTGACAATAAAAAGGGGGACAGATTAGATATTAGGAAGAAATTCTTCACTATTATGTTGGTGAGGCACTCAAACAGGTTGCCCAGAGAAGTTGTAGATGCCTCAGGATGCTCTGGAAGCATTCAAGGGCAGGTTGGATGGGGACTGAGCAACCTAGTCTAGTGGAAGGTGTCATTGACCATGGCAGGGGGTTGAAACTAGATTTAAGGTCCCTTCCAACCCTTATGATCCTACTGCTGCCAATAAACATTCCTAGTAGCAAAGCTGTGGGTAACCACACAGCCCTTGTAAGCACTGGTGAGGGCCTCAAGCTCCTGTGCACACACCATAGTTCCTGCAAAGCACACACTAACAAAAGAGCTGTTCACAGTTCATGAAACAGATCTTTTTATAGTGTGTGGAGCATGCAGATGATGGGATTTGTATGAAAGAATAATAAGCTGCAAGAAGTGCTGTGCTGAAAATATATAGGCAAATATCTGAATAGTCTGAAAGTTCCTAATCTAGAGTTATTTTTCATTAATCTGTATTGCTCTAAGGGGCAAATTTAAACTCTCAGTGCTATTAGAACAGAGCAACTGAATGCCCACAATAAATGTTTTCCCTTAAGCTTTACCTGACAAGTAGCAATAATTTATGCAAGAATTTTGCAAGTATAATTTTTTGTAGCTTTGTTAATTTGTTAATTTTCAAATTTTGCTGACCAAAAATTGTCTGACATCAAGTATTTCTATTGTTACATATAATTTCTTTTAGGCACAATTATTTCATATGCTGTTGTATCCACTTTTATTTAGATTTTTTTTAAACAATGTTAATGCATCATTAACTATGAAGATTTTTATCTATTTTAATTAATGCTTATATATAATCTCCAGATGACAATTAAATAAGCCTGCAGTGTAATCCTATTAACCATAAAGCATGCACTTTGTCAAAAAAAAAAAAGAAACAAAATCCAAAAAACAACCCAGAACACACACTGTGAGCATAAGATCCCTCTTAAAGCAGAATGACAGAAATCAAACTTACAGCCAAACAGTAAAAATGCTTATAAACACACATTGAAGAGTAGTACTTCAAAGAGCATCTTGGTATGAATAACACCAGCAAGTATTTTGTTGTTTGCTTTTTTTTTTTATAAGGCAAAGAATGTGCTTAAGGCTGCATATAATCCTTATTGAGGGATGTACATGAGAAATAAATGCTTTCATCACATTCAAAGACTACTTCCATTTTCAGCCCGAAACACCCCAAATCTTTTATTAGATCTAGATTTTCTTCAATTTTCTTGTTGTCAGCCCTCTTCTGTGGGTCAGAGTGCTGCACATAGATTATATTTCTGTTCCCAGAGTTACCCAGGTACTAAAGTCTTAGTGCTAATCCCAAAACATAAAGACATTGACTTAAACTGCATTTAGACAGTTCTTACTTCAGACTTGAATCATGGTTTAGGGGCAAACTGACTAACACAATTTACACTAAACACTAGAAATAGTGTCTCATGCTTTAATGAAAACCCAGGTGCCTTAATACTTGCAGGAACATCAGAATGCAATACATTGTAAAAGATTATAAAACTACCATCTTCAAAACCATAACTAGTAGTGCAAAAAATGTGTAGAATGACACTATTATATCTTGAAATCAAATTGAATTTGATCGCAGTTTAAAAAGGAGGCTGCAAAGTTCAGCAGTAGTAGTGCTAACAGCATCTTTGTTCATCTTGGAGAACAGTCTTCAACAGCTATCAGCCAGGAAGGGAATTATTGCTATTTACTGGCAGCAGCTACGTTCCTGTGGGGTGAAGTTAGCATTTATGCTGCAGACAATAGTTACAGCCAGTTCTGACTCCCTTAATATGAGCAAACTGAGCTGTTCTACAAAAACAAGTTTTCTTTTCAAAAGTTTAGACAACATTGACTGTGAAATAATGTCCATATTTGTCTCAGGTGATGAAAACAATCCATACAGTCTTTAAGAGAAAATTTGATTGCAATGAGAAAGATATAATTCATTAAATCTTTATTGATGCTCAATACTGACAGACCTTCTTGGCAATTTTACTTCCCTGTTGTTAATTGCAGATTCCATAGAAATAGACTGCTCTAGTTGCCTCAAGAGACATGATTTATAAATGTTCTACACTCAGAAACTGACATATACATTTGGCTATTTTACTACTTGTTGCAATTTTCCACACTTTTCAACCACAAGGAATTAACACCAACTGTAGTATTAACACACAGTTTACAGTGCTCTTCTGCCACAGCATACCAAACTCTTGGTCTTTTTTTTTTGTTCTATTTTAATTCTGTAAGTTTATTAGGAGTGGTTCTTCTTCCTTACACCTATTTCTGCCTCTGGAGTATAGTAAACAATCCTTGCTTCCATAAAGACCAGATTACTAATATGCAGTCTTTGATAAGGCTCTGGTGAGATTTCCTTGAATTATGTGTGCCTAACAACTTCCTTAGGAGAACTAGAACCCTCATGATGAATATTTTTTAATAATGGCATCAAGAATCCAGAGCTACCTGATCTTGTGATCTTCCCACATGCTTCTAAACACTTTTATATCAACTTTAATCGAAGCTGATCTGTTCTTCACTGTAAAGAATCCTGCCTAGAAATAGCTGGTTCTTCTGTAACAGAAGAATATGAAATGCAATGCAATTATCACACAATAGGCTTTGCCAATGAATAAATTAAACATCATTTCTTCAACTGCTTCTTGGTAATGTCTGAATTACTATTTGGAATTAGCTGTTGTTGCTGAAATATTGGTAATGCTCTTTGTGTTACTGGAGAGACGGTCTCTGCTCCACTAATTTTGTTCAAAGTGAAACAGTACATGGGAAAACACCGAAATGAAAGCATGGCTTGACTAGTAGTATTGGTTTTGATTTACATCTTGTGAGCCTTATAAAAAAAAGTAAGTCTTCAAGGGGGAGTTTAACTGAAAAAGGGTGGCTGTTGGGACAGATGAAGCAAGTTGCAATTCATTTCTCTGAATACACAATTAAAGGAGATACATTGTTACAAGACTAAACAGAGGTCTGGGATAAAAATTAGGAAGATGTATTCATGTTGATCTGAAAGCTTCTTTTGTTTGGGTAACAAGGTTCACTGCAGTGGGTATTTTAATCCAATTGAAATTTACCTGCAATGAATGGCGGCACACAAAACAGGGGACTTGTGAACCTGTCTGAACTGGATATATACAGTACAGCTGCTGGTGTTAGGAACAGATCCAATGATGAACTATCATTTTGTGTTCCTTAATAGATGCTATGGAGAACCAGAGACACAGGAGGGATAAGCAATCTGGAAAGTGGGTTTCAGTTGCTACTACATTGCTTTTCTGACTTTCAAGTGGATTTTGGAAGTTTCCCCATTTGTGTCTCTTACTGGGACCCTTGCACTAGGAGAAAGGAAGCACAGGGATCCCAGAGAAGACAACCTCAGTCCCAGAAGCATGCCATTATACAGAGATGCAATGACATGCTTTGGTGTTCCTGCCATCTGATATCAAATTATCCACATATGCTAGAGAACTGGACTACATTTTGGAGAAGCGTATTACCTCTCTAAAGCAGAGACTAAAGATACGGAAAGCACAGTATAAGGACATCACTGCATTTAATTAGGAAAGGGAGACTTTTTGAGGAAAATCTCAACAGGAACTTGGTAAAAACTG